ATGCATGGAACACTGGATATGTACGTAGATGAGGAGGAATCTCAATGACATACGAAGGACCATCCACATCTCCAATTACGTCTAGAACCTGCCAAAATCCTCGGTAGGTGGGTAGAAGCTTCTGAGAGATGTTCTCTTCAGGAGCAAACTCTTTAGACTTCACCCAAACCAAATCTCCTACAGCAAATTGAGACGGGCGTCTGTGTTTATTTGCCTGTTCAATCATTTGATGCTGTGTTTTAAGTATATTTTCTTTTACCTTCTCAATGTCTTTCTGAACTTGGACTGCAAACTCACTAGTCCCTACAGGAAGCTTATGTACTTGATCCGGGTTCAATCGATCAATGGGTCTGCGTGGACGCCATCCGAGATGTAACTCCATAGGAGTCTTACACGTAGATAGGTGCATAGAGTTATTATAGGCACTAGCAACCTTAGGCAGCTGTTCATCCCAGTCAATCTGGTCGGGACAAATGTACATGCGCAAAGTCTGCTGCAAGATCTTATTCATTTGTTCAGTCTGACCATTAGTCTCAGGATGCCTACCTGATGACATTGTCAACTTAGAACCATATACATCCATCAATTGCTGTCATTGTTCACTTGTGAACCTGGTATCTCTGTCACTCACAATAGTTAAGGGATGTCCAAAGTCTTTTACCCAATGGTTAAAGAATTTCCGAATTACCAATTCAGTCTTTGCTTCTGCAGGCAAAGCTACAAAAACAGCAAACTTAGTGAATCTATCCACTATGACCATTACTTGCGTCTTCCCATTTCTGCTTTTTACCTTAGTGTCCATGAAATCTATAGAGACAGAGTCTCCAGGGCCGGTAGGGATAGGCAAGGGCTTAAGTAGCCCGAGGGGCGATTGCGTGGTGCTTTTGTTTCGTTGGCACACTTGGCAACCCTGCACATACGCGATGCAATCCGCTTTCATTCGAGGCCAGGTGTAGGAGCGTAACAAGGTCTTATAGGTCTTCTTTCACCCAAAATGACCTTCTGTATCATGGCATTTCCCCAAGATCATACTCTTGATCTCCTCACTATTCGGTATACACAGCCTATCATGCACGTCAGTTCGTTCAAACAATAGACCCTGAGTTACTTTATGATCGGGAAACTCTGCTGGCTTTTCTTGCACTAGCTTAATCATGGTTCCATAAACAGGATCAGAAGTATACGCATCTCTAATTTTTTCTTGTAGGTCTGTACCTACATCTAGGTAAGTCACGATAGCACCAAAAAAGTCTGATCTACTACTTAGTGCATCGGCAACAACGTTATACTTACCCTTGACTGGCTTCAGCTCAAAGTCAAACATATCAATCTCTGCAGCCCACCTTGTTAACTTAGGTGTCATTCGAGCTTGTGTTTTAAGCCAGCGAAGTGTTTCATGGTCAGAGTATACTTTAAAATGCCTGCCTAGAAGGTAGTGTCGCCAATGATTGAGAGCCTCACGCAGAGCATACAACTCTCGTTCATACGTTGAAGCGGCCACCTTCTCATTAGGTAAGCGGCAAGACATAAACTCTACAGGGCTGTACCCATGCCCATCATCTTGCTGGAGTACAACACCTATACCATATTGACTAGCGTCAGTCGTGACCACGAAAGGTAAGGAAGGGTCCGCTACTTTAAGAACCGGATAATTAATCAAACACTTTTTCATATGCTTGAAGGACATAGTGTAGTCTGAATCCCA